AAAAATTAGCTGGGCATGGTGGCACATGCCTGTAGTCCCAGCTACTTGGGAGGCTGAGGCAGGAGAATTGCTTGAATCCGGGAGGTGGAGGTTGCAGTGAGCCGAGATTGAGCCACTGTACTCCAGTGTGGATAAGAGCGAGACCCTGTCTCAAAAGAAATAAAGGCCAGGTGTAGTGGCTCACACCTGTAATCCTAGCACTTTAGGAGGCTGAGGCAGGCAGATCACTTGAGGTCAGGAGTTTGAGAGCAGCCTGGCCAACGTGGTGAAACCCCATCTCTACTAAAAACACAAAAATTAGCTGGGCATGGTGACAGATGCCTGTAATCCCAGCTACTTGGGAGGCTGAGGCAGGAGAATCAGTTGAACCTGGGAGGTGGAGGTTGCAGTGAGCTGAGATTTTGCCACTGCACTCCAGCGTGGGCGACAGAGCTAGAGTCCGTCTCAAAAATAAATTAAAAAACAAAGTTTTAAGAACAGGCTTTAGGTTTCTATAGCCCATTGGGAAAAGGGTATGGCATGATCAGATGATTTGCAGGAGTTACAAATGCAAATTTAAACAATCAAACAGCATCTAACACATCTTTAACAATTAAAAAATAAACACTATAATAAAACCATAAAAATATTGATAAGCTTCTACTATGAACTACATGATAGTGACAGGGGAATGAGAGCAAGGGTCCTATCTGCCCACTATTGTATTACCAGTATCTGGATCGTAGAACTTTGCTTAGCATGTGATAGGGCTTTGCCATTTATACTGAGAACAGATGATCAAGTTATCAATAATTGATAAAAGCAACAGTAATCAGTATTTTAATTGCTGTAAATGGACATTTGAAATAGCAATAAGATTCTAGAATGGCAATGACTGAGTTGGAATGTAGGTGTTTTCATTAATGTCCTACACGTATTTAAATTCTGAGTAGCCATTTTTGCTGGTAAATTGTGAAAGCAGGACACGGTTCTCCAAGGTTCACAGGTAAACCATCTCACCAGAGCACCAACGAGCAGACTGCTACATTTTACTTTATTTTGCCTGTAAGGAAAACCAATTGACTAAGCTGTCCCCAGATTTCTGGTTATAACAGATGTATTTCTAAAACAATCAGTAAATTAACAAAATTATGGCAGACAGTGCCATATCCCTGGAATTCCAAAAGCCCTGGATTAATGATGAGACCCGAGTTAAGTCCCAGCACTGCTACTTATTGGCAGCCATCTTAGAGTCTATTTCCTTATTTGTAAAAGGGACCTCTTAATCTGGGATTGCCTACATCATGGCGCCACTGTAGAAATCTGGTTAAGGAAACTGTATAATGAGACATAACTGAAGATTGATTGACTTTTATTTAGAGATGGGGGTCTCACTCTGTTACCCCCGGCTGGAGTGCAGTGGTGCAATCATAGCTCACTGCAGCCTCAACCTCCGAGGCTCAAGCAATCCTCCCACCTCGGCCTCCCAAGTCACTGGAACTGTAGGCACATTCCGCCATGCCCCACTCTTAATATAATTAACTTTAAAATGTGGTTGGAGATTATAAGGGCCCTAAAGCCTTTGCCTGCTTTGTGTTTTCTGCCAACCCCTCATTTCCCAATCTTTGCCAGAACCCCAGCAACTAAGAGAAGGGCGTCCAGTTTTTGGTTGTCAGAATCCATCACTAAGCAGGATGCTCTGCATAGAGCCCTTTGCTGGGAAATTCCTCTGGTTCCATCTCTCTCCCAACGTTTACTGACCAAGGATCCTTCCTTTCTGCCTTTGTCCTTCCCTCACTCACAAAGGTTCACAGGTAAACCATCCTACCCCAGAGAGCACCAAAAAAGCAGACTGCTACATTTTACTTTATTTTGCTTGTAAGGAAAACAATTGACTAAGTTGTCCCAAAAATGTTAGTGTTCACTGATCAAGAAGGAAATGAGGTCAGAAGGCAAACTTTTCACTTCCTCTCAACTATAAATTGCAAGTATCACAGAAAATTGTAACAACACATGCAACATGGCTGGTTTTCAACATACAGAGTGTCCAAGCAAGAAGAGTGAGTACTGAAGATCAACAGAGGTCAGATTGGGGGCACTACTACAGGAAGTCTGAATCTATCCACGCAGTTTTTTCCTCCCACAGTCCAGGCTCAACACTTCTTCCTATTCCAAGGTGGCTTCTCCATAGGTAGAAATCCAGGCTATTCCATATATATTCCTTGCCCAGCTGTGTTTCACAAGGCATCTCCACAAACCAAGCCCCGACTCAAATTGTGTACAGGAAGTTCCCATTGCTGTCAAATAACTCTCGGCCCCTCTGCACTACTTTGCTGCTGAAGTTACCCGGCTCCTCTGCCTTCAACTCCTCCAGCTTCTGATCACTTGGCAATGCACCACTGCCAGTTCTTCTGGTGCTCTCAGAATCACTGGAGTACTTCTGTAGCTCTCTTGGATGACCTAGGGGTACAGCAACAGGCACAAAGCTCTCCTCCAGGTGCTGGATTTCTTTATTTCTTCCCTTCCATCTCCTTGGTATATTTGTCCTGTAGAGTGTCTGACTCTATCACTTTCAAAGCTGTGCTGTGATTCGCGTCTTTGGATGAGGCTTCATGCCCTGGCATAAGCAAAGAGCCTGATACAGAGTGGCCTGCAGGGAGCAGCTTTGAGGTATTTCCAGCGCCCCGGAGCTGCTGGAGAGAGTGGGCAAGCCCAGCTTTCTTAAGAAGGACTTTTGGATCCTGCTTCAGCTTCTGCTCCAATGTGGGTACAAACTTGCTTTTTAAAACTCTTCGGATCACATCAGTGCTGACATTAAAGCCTTCAGCCAACCTGGGAACTGACCAGGACTCTGGAAATTCCGCACGTAAATACCGGATCTGCTCCATGGCTTCCCGAGTCAGGGTTCTAGGCGGGGCACCAGGCGCCTCCATTTGCCTCTCTGAATTTTCTGGAATCGGATTGCTTTTTTCTGTCCTTTCAGGGTGCTGAGGGAAGAGAACCAATGGCACAAGCCATGCGTGGAAGCAGAATGGATGTTTGAAGAGCCTCAGGCTAAATCATGGAGCGCCCAGCCCTCTTCTCTTTGATCGCAAGGGCAACCGGGCCGTGTTGCCGGCTTAGAGCTGCTCTGTACACCCAGAAAGTTAACACCTAGAACAATAACTGCCTGTAAGCATGCCGAACTCTCTAAACTAATGATGAAATACGTCACTAATGAAGGGACCAGTGGTCCCTGGGGAGCTGAGCACCTCACGCTGCGCGACTAACAACCGGAAGAGGAAACGAGGGCCGCCGCGCAAGCAGCGGCAGGACACCCGGCGCCAAGGGGGC